TTACCAAAAGAAAGAAAAGACTATCTAATTAGAAATGAAAAAGGAAAAATCACAATGGACACCACCAAAATCCAGAGAATAATAAGAAATTACATCAAAAACTTATATCCCAATAAATTGAAGAACCTGGAAGAAATGGATAAATTCCTAGGAACATATGCATTATCAAACCTGAACCAAGAAAGGCTAGGTGTGATAGCGCACGCCTGTAATCTCAGCACTTGGGAGGCTGAGGCAGAGGATCACTGCAAGTTTGAAGCCAGCCTGGGCTACATAGTGAGTTCAAGGCCAGCCTGTGCTATGTAACAAGACACTGTCTCAAAAAACCAAACCAAAAATTCTGTAACAAACTAATCTGAACCAAGAAGATATAAAAAGCCCAAATAGATGAATAATGGGCAATAAAATAGGGGCAGTAAAAATCACCACCAAAGAAAAGCCAAGGACCCAGTGTGTTCCCCACAGAATTTTACCAGAATGTCGGGGAAGATCTAATGCCAATAGTCTCCAAAATCTTACATGAAATTAAAAGAAAGTAAGACTACTAATTCCTGGAACCTAACATTACCCTGATACCAAAACCAGATAAGGACTCAACAAAGATAACTATAGGCCAATTTCCTTAATGAAGATAGATACAAAAATCCTGAGCAAGATACAGAATGTGAACAGAATGCAGCAAGTCACTAAAAAGATAAACTATTATGACCAACTCAGTTCATTCCAGCAATGTAAGGATGATCCAACATTCCTAAATCATAAATACACCACATAAATAGAAGTAAGGGCAGAAATCACATGCTTATCTCAATAAATGCAGAAAAACTTCTTATAAAGTCCATCATCCATTCATGATTAAAAACAAAACAAAACAAACAATGAAAATAGGAGTAGGTGTAGTAGGACTTTATCTTGAAATTTTAAAAAATTAGTCATGAAAAACCCACTGTCAACATCATACCAAATGAGGAACATTGAAAACATTCCCTCTAAAATCAAGAGTAAGACTAGGGTGTCAGCTCTCACCATTCCTGTTCAATATCGTATTCAGAACTCAGCCAGAGCAGTCAGGCAAAGGAAAGAAAGAAAGGGATTCAAATAGGAAAAGAAGTCTATCCTTATTTCTAGATGACATACTGTCATAGATCCAAAAAAACTATATCCAGAAAACAACCTTAGCAAAGTGGCAAGATACAAATAAACATACAAAAATGAACAGAGCTTCTATATACAAACAATGAAACCACTGAGAAGCTAGGAAAACAATCCCATTTACAATAGTCTCAAAAAAAAAATACTTAAGAATTAACCTAACCAAGGAAGTAAATGAGCCCTACAATGAAAACTTCAGTACTCTGAAAAAAGTACATTGAATAGGACATTAGACAATGGAAAGATATCAAATGTTTCTAGATAGACAGAAACAATATTGTCAAAATGGCCATATTACTAACAATGATATATAGATCTAATGAAACTCCAATCAAAATACCAACAGCATTTTTCACAAAACTAGAAGAAAACAATTCTAAAATTTGTATGAAACCAAGAGAGACTTAGAACAGGCAACTCAATTCTGAACAAGATCCAGAAAAGGCAAAGCAATTCTGAGTAATAACAAGGCCAAAAGAGGTCTATTTATCTCAATTTCCCATTACTTAACTGAGTTTTTTGGGGGGAGCTCTAATATTTTTTAATTCCTTATATATAGTAGAAATTAATCCTCTGCTTAGAGGAGTAGCTGGCAAAATTGTTCCCCTTTGGTAGACTCTCTTCACTCTGTTTCTTTTGCTGTGCAGATGCTTTTTACTTTGATATAATTCCATTTGTTGATTTTTGTTATGCAAGTGGATTCTTCTGCCGAGGCCTGTGTCTTCAAGCATTGTGCCTATTTTATCTTCCAGTAGATCAAGTGTTTCTGTTTTAATATTTAGATCTTTGATTCACTTTTATTTTAGTACATGGTGAAATATATAGGTCTAGTTTCAATCTTCTTCTTTTTGTGTATAGCCAGTTTTCCCAGCATCATTTGTTAAAGAGGATATCTTTTGTCCAGTGTATGTTTTTGACCGCTTTGTGAAACATCAGATGACTGAATGTGCTCAGGGTCGTTTCTGCATCCTCTATTCTGTTCCACGGATCCATATGTCTGTTTTTGTACTAATACCATGTTTTTTTAATCACTGTAACTTTGTAATATAATTTAAAATCTGGAATTGTGATGCCTCTTTTTACCCTTGTTCTCCAGGATCATTTTTGCTATTCTGGGTCTGATTCCATATGAATTTTGTGATTATTTTTCCTAGTTCCATATGGAATGGTGTTGGTGTTTTATTGGGCATGCATTAAATCTATGTATCAGTTTTGGTGGTATGGCCATTTTGACAGTATTGAATTTGCCTATAAAATAATGAGATATTTTTCCATTTTCCCATTCTTCTTTAATCCCCCCTTTTCAGATTTCTATAGTTTTCATTAGATAAATGCTTCTTTTTGTCAGGCTAATTTTTATCTATTTAATTTTCTTGTAAGCTATTGTGAATGGTTTACTTTCCTAATTTCTTTCTCAGCCAATTCCTCATTGTTGTACAGAAATACTATTGATTTTTGTGTGTAGATCTTGTCTCCTGCTACCTTGCCAGATTTGGCTTAGTTTTAGCATTCTTTCAGTGGAACTTTTTGGGTCTTTTATGTAAAGGGTCGTGCTGTCTGTGATTAAGGATGGTTTGACTTCTTCCCTTACCAAATATACCTTTTCATATCTGTCCCTTGCCTTATGGCTCTGGCCAACATTTCAAGCACTATGTTGAATAGTAGGGATGATAGTGGACATCCGAAATAAAGTCTGCCTATACCTATTTTCCTCAGAGTTTTTATCATGAATGGATGTTGGATTTGGTCCAAGGATTTTTCTGCATTTATTGAGTTGACCATGTGATTTGTGTCCTTCTGTTTATGTATTGCATTATATTTATTGATCTGCATTTGTTGAACCGTCCTTGTATTCCTGGGGTAAAGCTTACTTAGTCATGAGGTATGATCTTTTTAATGCTTTGTTACTTTCTGTTTATTGAGGATTTTAGCATTTATGTTCATTAAAGAGACTACCCTGTAGTTTTCTTTTTCAGTTGAGTCCTTATTGCTTTCAGAATTAAGGAAATGTTAGCCTCCAGGATTGAGTTGGGCAGTATTCTTTGCCTTTGTTTAATTAGCTTGAGGAGTACTGGGGATAGTTTTTTGCTGCAGTTCTTGTAGAATTGAGTGGTGGATCCATCAGGCACTGGGCTTGTCTTACTTGGTAGGGTTTTTAATTTCTGCCTCAACTTAATTACTTGTTATAGGATTATTAAGCATTTTTATATCTTTTTGGTTCTGTTTTTGTATTTCATATGTTTCAAGAAATCTATCCATTTCTTTTATATTCTCCAATTTTTTAGAGTACATAGGTCTTCACAGCAGTTACTAATGGATTTGGCCATTATTTGCTGTGATTTCACCTTTTTTATTTCTAATGCATTGACCATGCCCCACCCCACCTCCGCCACCTTTGGTAAGATTAACTAAGGGTCTTTGATTCATTGGTTTTTTTACATAAAACCCAGAGTGAGTGGCTCTTACCTTTTCTGGAATAATCTAGCTTGAGTTTAAGAGAAAGAAATTTTTGGGAGGACTTCTAGTTTTTTTCTTCTATTGATAAATGCTTGTGTGGTTAATATTTTTAAGCACTTTAAAATTACTAATTATATCTACCGTTTTAAAAATTATTTGTCTTGATCTTTTTCTGCAGTTTGTGTGAGGGTTTTCTGATCTGCCTATTAATTTATGAAGATTATGGGAAAACAACAAAAACATTTCACTGGGACATACTGGTTTCTCCTCAGATCACACAAATCTTTTGCTATCTCACTGCGAGATTTTATGTAGCTTCTGAAAGGAAATGCACTTTGTGTAATAGTAATAAAGAACTGAGTTTCATAAAAATTTTAGATATTTAGGAATACTTTGAGGTTAATGATGGCAAGAATTCATGAAATAAAATTGGCTGGTCTGGATGTGGACTGTGTTGAAATAAGGTTGTTCCTGGTCAGATAAAGCAGACTGATGTAGGGAAATCATCCTATAACTCTAATATGAACATATACCTGCTATGGATAGGGACTATAAGCCATTCAGGTGGAAGGAGTGTCCTATCACACACTGCTGTGGGGTAGAACTTAACACAGTTTAGTAGTCTTTTAAGTGATTTCAGCCAAGTTCACAGTTAACTCCTGATTCTTTGTTTCTACAATGTAGTAAACTTATCGACATAGACAACTGTCCCCCTGATGTATTACTTCATGCATTTCTCTGTACAGAAGGACCCTTGAAGATTTCAAGAGTTGCCATTGTAGCTAGCAGTACTGAAGTCAAACCGAATGTCCATCTCATTCTGCTGCATGCATGAGATGACCTGGTGGTAAACTGAGGGGAGTTTGAGTGTAATGTGAGGAGTATTTATTTATTGGTAGTGGACTTATCTGGATTGAAGAGAATCCCAAGTATCTGAGGATGTGTAGGTCTAGTGGTCTGGCTGTCTGATAAGACCAATGGCATCTTCCAACCTGGCTCAGCTGATGCCTTCCCCCACAGACCCACCATGACACTGTCGTGGGCCTTCCTTTCCTTTTTTTTTTTTTTTAAATAACAGGGTATTTTCATAAAATCTTTATTGGCTGAATAATTGGCTAAATATCTTTTAGAATTCCCTGTTCATGAAACAGCGTTGTATCACTTGCTGAATAAGCTTCAGAGAGGGTATTATTGGCTATTTTCAAGAAAAAAAATCAGGGAGGAAACAAGTGAATAAATGAAAACATCCAGTGACTGTGATGTTTGTGTCAATGACTGGAACGCTGGGATGCTTCGGCGATAGATAAGCAATTTAAGGAGACTCATATGCCTTATTTTTAATTAAATGGGTACCGCAGAGCTAATTTATTTTCTTTGCTATTTTCCTGCAGATTAAAAGCAAGAAGAAATCACTGTACTTCAGGAAAGAGGTAAGCATCTATGTATGTGCTCTTGAAATTCTTTGTGCATTCTGTGGTCAGTGATGTCAGAAGTTCAAGGTCTGTGAATTCATTATTTCAGAGCCACAAAGGAGATTATTTTTATGACAGATTTTCTCCCCAGGAGGGCCCTTTCCTTAAGGAAACTTCAGTGTTACTTTTCCTTTTTTAGAACAATCCAAATCACGTTTTTATACTACGTGTGTGACTGTTTCACTGATCAGTTACTAAACAGAATGCTTCTTGCACATTACTGCGCTTCAGTCACAGCGCAGCTGAGAAGCCTGCACAAAACAAGCCTGGCGATGGAAGCCCCTGTTTGTCGGGAGGCTGCTTGTCTGGATCGATGAAGGGAACACTTCCCTGAGGACGCTGAGGGACTCGTTTCAGATGTCAATCTGAGGTCCAGATGAGCGGCCTGCTCAGAGGACAGAGAAGTCTGCAGGCCTGGCTCTAGGTGGCGCCCTCTCAGGGACACCTTTAAAACAATTAAGACCCCTGGGTGGGCCTTTCCTTTCCCTCGTCACAAGCAGCAGCACATCTTATGAGACAATATACACCTTTAATATGCTCAGTATTTCAAGACTTTATCTTTTACTTTGTTGATCAGAGAGTTGTAGATGCTTGTGCATGGGAAATAATGATTTGGATAACAAGTGAGACAATTGAAAAGATCAAATTTAAAAAGGGGCAAGTAACTGTGATATGTACAGAAAGTCTCATTGGCATTGCTAAAAGAAGGGAACCCTGTCTGCCTATATTAAACAGTGACGATGAAACCTAGTTTAGTGCTTTGTTAAGCTTCCTGCTGAGCACTTTGTAAGGACGTCTTTTCTTTTCTTTCTGTCATGTTTCGCTGAGACAGAAGGGTCGGGATCTGGTGCTCCACTTCTGACATGGGGTAAGTAACTAGCACAGTACCCTTTCAAATTTATATGTCCTGTACTGCACGCCAGGTTCTGAGGTCTCCCTTTATTTTTTCAGAGAGCTATTTGAAAATACTGTTAAGATGAGTCCTTTTCCTCTCTGAGACTCTCGCTTAGGTCACTGAAATTACTCTCTGCGATTGTTTCTTCTATTTTAAGTTTTTCCTGATTTTATGGAAAATGAAGCATTTAAAAGAGTTGTTTGAGCAACTTCATACTAGATCAAAAAATTGTTACGTTATCTGGTAGCCAAAATTTGATCAAGCGTTCCTCGTTTGTTTACTTATTGCAGTTTCAGGATAGAGAATCCATAAGGTCTTTGGGATCACACCATGTTTCTGTTCCTAGTTTAATCACTAAATATTGACTTGAATTAGTTTTTCGTTTTTGAAACAGGGACAATTAGATATGAAATTTTGTTCTCTTGGCCTGGGTAAAGCAGTCACAGAAATCAGACACCTGGACGGTTTCTGGAGCGCTTTAATATATCTTGGTCTCTGTTTTGATTACCTGCTGTGTTTGGGTGGTACAAATTTATTAAGCTGTACAATTATAGTACATATGCTTTTCAGTCAGTATTTTATACTTCAACAGCAAGTAAAAAATATCATGAAGGGAATCCAAATATTGGTTAAGATACCTTTTAGCAATATTGTCCATGAGTTACTGGCTGCATAATGACCAATATCCTCAGAATAGTCTGACTATGTTGTCTAACACAAGCATGTTCAGGAAACTATAGTATGAAGTATTTTTAATTTCAACACATGCATATGCCTAAACTCTTTTACTTGCACCTTTTTCTGTTATCAGAATCAGTGTGATTATTTTCTCATTATGTGCCAAGATGTTACTCATAGATCTTAAAGCAATAAAAACACACACATACACTGCACAGTGGGAAAATTTGTATGATTTTAGTGAAATGAATTAAAACATGGCCACAGTCAGAACAATAAACTGCTTGGATTTGCAAGTATTTCTTACCTTTTGAGTTCCTGATACACTGACTAAATGGTGTGTTTCAATTTTTAATCCTACTTCCTTAAATTTCTCTACTTTAGTATAAAATCAGAAAGCTCTAGCTGTCAATTACTGTCATTGCTACACTCAAGAAATTCTAATGATAGAGACTATAAGATGATTTACAACAGATATTTAGTTATTTGCCCTACCTTAGGAAATACATTTTCTATATCCCTGGAAGTACCTGTCAATTTATGTGTCCAAAATTTTCTAACATAAAAATTCATTTGATCATAAAGGAAGTATTAAATCCATATGACATTTTGGTAGCAATAATATTGTGGAATCTCCTGAAGTCATACATGTCAAAAACCATAGATACCTCGAGGACCTTGGCGGATGTGAAGGACAACATATTTAATTAAGCTAGTCCTTATTTCCAGAACAATAGTTGCTTAACATTTTTTACTATTGCAAAATAGCACCCATTTGTCAATACAAATCAGTATTTATGCATTCATGCTTCTGTTGCTATGGGCATTATTTCTATAAAGAGTAATACTTGAAAGTAAGGAGCATGGATTTTTTTTTTTTTAGTGAGACATAGACAAATCACTCAAATATCCAGTTCACTGTCATTTCAGCAATGTATTGGAATGTTGAGATAAATTTATATTTATGTAGTTAAGACACCAAAAATGTTGTTATTTAAGATTTTTTTATTTGCTAATTTTTTAAATTTTTGAGACAGGCCCACTTTATAATTCAGATTGGCTTTGAACTCACTACATAGCGCCCCCATCCCTGCTGGCCTGGGACCTGCAGCGAGCCTCATGCCTCAGCCTCCCAAGTAGAAGATATCTTCTTAAGCGATACGTTTAACACTACTAAAATAAATTGTAGTTAATATAATTAAAACTGGTAGTGCTTTAAAAACTATATGCCCTTAGAGTGGTATATCCAGTAATTCCAGCTGCTTTACTACTCTTATGTGCAAAGCAAAATTGAATACTAAGATTCTGAAGTTCTGAAAGAGCCACTGTCTGAATAAATTAAACTTATACCTTCGATTATAATACTTATTTATAAAACACAATTCATAAATTAATAATTTATTTTTGTGATAGTCAATGCAAGTTGATAGTGAAAGAAAATTTGAGTATAATGATAAAGCAGTTAACATGAAGTCAGCTAAGGTAGCCGTCACGGCATGAACTTGGAAAAAATTAGCAGGACAGTTCTCTGAAATATCTTTTAATTTTTAATATTTTAATAGGTATTTTAAAAATAGTAGTGTTATATTTTCTTTCCAAATGATTTGAACAGATTAATATTTAGTGTATGGGAGGTTTTTTTCCCCTTTTTTATCCTTAGTGCTAATAATGCGTGGTTGAGAAAGAACAAATAAGAAAATAAATGTAAAGCCATAAATGAAGGACTCAGGTTGAAATAGCCAATAAACAGGACACAGGATTTTAATCTAGCACAGTGTTTGCTTAGCTTTACAGAAGTGTGCAGAGTGGTGTACAAAACAGGGGCATTATTATCAGGTCATTAAAAGTTCCAATAGGTGCTGTCAACCCTATAAACTTTTTATAATGGTTTATTCAGATAAGACCTGAGGGTGTGTGTGTGTGTGTGTGTGTGTGTGTGTTGACACAGAGCAGCGAGAGCATAAGGTGGTAGCCAGTGTGCTCTGATGTGGTTACAGCCATGCAGACACCGTGGCTCCCCAGCTTTGAGGTAAGGACACATATCAAACATGTCAAGGAATCATGCAGGTTTAAATCTCTGTACACAATATCTCACCATAATCTTATGTTATCAGTCTCTGTTATGTTATCAGTCTTATGCAGTTTGTGCGAAAACAACCCAAGATCATTTCTGGGCCAGCCTGTATGTGTAGTAAAATTGTTATTTATTTACCAAAAATGATACTCAGATTGAGAGACGGTGGAAAAGTGGTCATGAGGGAATACAGATTATAATGGTGCCCTTGGTTTGGATCAGCACACGGCAGGAAATCCTCGATGTGGCTTCATTTATCAGAGGACTTAGCTATTTTTTTGTGGAATAAAAATATGGTCCACCTGTGAGCCATTTGGCATACTGACCCAGGAAACACCTCAGTAGCTCTAGGGAGCCCAACATTCTTAATGCCTCACCCCCTGTATGGCAGGATCAAGTGCACTGTTATGATGGGTGACTGAGAACTTCTGCATACAGTTTGTGAGCACACAGACAGCTGGCCTACTCTGCAGGACTGGGAGAAAGTACACAAACTTGAGAATTTTAGGAAAACAAATAGGAATCTCTCAACACATAGCCTGGCTCCTAGGGATCAAGAAAAAGCACACCATCTTAAAAGTGCACCCCCTTGAGGGAAGAAAAGGGATGGAAGAGGTTCATTATGAGAAAAGATCAGAGAGAGTCTCAGAATCCAATCCCTGGCCTGCCTGACTGGGGCAGGTGTTTCTTCCCCAAAGTCAGCCGGTAAAGTGTGGAGTGGAAGTTCTCTTCAAGTTCAGAGGACAGTGCATGAATTCAAAGAACATGAAAGATTAAGACAGGAAATGTACCATCTGATAACTAACTTCAAAGAAATATAGATCTATAATTTTCTTGAAAAAAAGAGTTCAAAGTAATTGTTTTAAGAAAACTCACAAGCTATAAGGAATACAGATAGATGGCACAGTGAAACAAGAAAACAATATATGGACAGAATTTGAAATTTTTAAAAGAAAAATAATTTTTAAAAACCAAATTCAGGAGCTGAGTGATATCATGAAATATGCAATAGAGGGGAAAGCACACTAGATCGAGCAGAAGACTATGAAAGTAAAAATAGATAATTTGAAGTTATCATCAGAGGAGAAAAAGAATAAATGAAGAAGACCCTATAGGATTTCTGAAAACCATCAAGAGAACTAATACAAGGCTTATGGAAATTTCTGTAAGAGAATAAGAAGAAAACAGAAAGATTAAAGGTGTAGGGGCTGAAAACTTCCCAAATCAAGGAAGAGACAGGGACATTGAGGTACACGGAGATCCCCAATTTATTAGATCCCAAAATAACTTCACTAAGACACATCGTGACAAAGCTATCAAAAAACCAACCAATCACCAATAAAATAGGTTATCTTCCAACCACCAGCCCCTAAGAGGGACTGCTTTATCTGTAGACCATATTCATTGAATATTCTTGAAAACTTTAATTTATAAGAGAAACTTCTGAAAACAGCAAGAAAATAAAACCCAGCAGCATCTATGAGGAAACTCTTATAAAGCTATCAACACAGATCTGTGTCTCTCATCAGAAACCTTCCTGACTAGGAGAGAGTGGCATGATATATCTGAAGGTGTTGGAAGAAAAAAACCTGCCAACCAGGAATAGTTTTCCTAAAAATAGTCCTTCAGAACTGAAGGAGACGATCTTTTCTCCAGTGTGTGGACAGGAGCGCTGAGAGTAGGCACCCTTGTTTCATTCCCAACTTTAGAGGCAATGCTTTGTTTTTTCCACTTGATGTGTTAGCTGTGGGTTTCATTATTTTGAGGTAAGATTCTTCTATAATCTGTTTCTTCAGGACTTTTGAATTTACTTTAATGATTTTGATGCATCAACTGAGGTGATCATTTTTTCCTTGATTCTGTTTATATTGTGTATTACATTTATTAATTTGCATATGTTAAACTGATCTTTTATTCCTGGAATAAGCCAACTTCATGGTAATGCATGATCTTTTTAATAAGCTTGTTTAATTCTATTTGTAAAGTTTTATTGAAAATTTTTCCATCTGTGTTCTCTTAGGATATTGATCTAGTTTTCTTTTGTCTTGAATGTTCACTTGTTTTTGGTATCAAGAGTATACTTGCTTCCTTCTCTGTTCCATGGAATGGTTTTGAGGAGAATTGGTGTTAATCTTCTTTAAATGTGTACTAAATTTCAGCAGTAAATCATCCAGTCCTGGGCTCTTCCTGTTGAGAGACTATTATTGCTTCAAAT